GCGGATCTAGGCGACAGGCGGCAGTGTCTTGCAGCGCTCGCGGTCGGGCGTGAGGCGGCAGGCCTCGGCGAGCGGTGGCAGAGCATGGGGCGCGCGGCAGCGGGCCTCGGCAGGCGGTAGCGGGCGCTGGGCTCGCGGCGGTGCTCCGGCGTGTGCGGGCGGTGGTGGCTCCTGTGCGCGGTCGACGGCGTCGCGGGCGGCGTGATGGTGGCCGATGCGTGTCGGGGGGTCGGGCATCTCCTTCTCCGACCTGGTTCGTCCTGGTTTGGGGGCTTCGCAGCGCTCCTCCCCTCGGCAGCTTGGCACACGGGTGCGTGCCCGGCGTCTCTGAGGCTTGGAGCTCGTCGGGCGGTGCGGGATGGGTAGTTGGCCTCCGACCCTCTCCTCGTAGTCCGGTCGCTTCTCTCATCGACGGGCTGGCCGGCTCCCCGCTGCGATCCATCGCTCGCCTCGCGCCCGGTGCGTTAGGACCGAGCTTGTCTCACGCACGGTGCAGCAGGACGACCTCGTCTCGCGCATGGTGCCGTTGGACTGAGCTTGTCTCGTGCCCGGTGCTACTGGACGGGTCGATGGAAGCCAGTGGGGGCCGCCCAGGGATGCGAAAGGTCGGACCTTTCCACTCATCGCGTTGGTTGGGGTAGTGGCGGTTCTGGGGTGAGGTGGTGTCTAGGTCTTGGATGCCAGGGCGCCGGTCCTGGTGGTGGTAGCGCGGTGCTCTTGGGCAGAGACCGTGGCTTGGTGCTGCCCGGTGGCCATGGTCGTGTGGGCAGCATGGTGGCCGGGGTGTGGCGTCCGTTGGCGGTGAGTGCTGGCCGGGGTGAAAACCCGTTCTATCTTCGGACAGACCAGCGGCGGCGAAGCTCGTTCCCTTCTTGAAGGCGTCGTCGCGACTCTCATTGCCCGTCGTGTGGCCTTAGGGGAATCTCTGATCCTCGGATCGGACGGTGGCGGCGCTCCGGTGTCACATCCTTCCTGAAGACGCTGTCTTGAAGCCCACGGTTCGTCGTATGCGGCTTCAACTTCTCGGTGGTAGTGCTAGGGGGTGTTGCTACGCTCAGCGTCTATGTATCCCGCTTTGGGTATGTGCGTGTGTGGTGGTGACGTGTGTTTGCATCAGGTGATGTTGATCTTTGCTTTATATATAAAGCGGGGTAGGAGCTTTTTTCGATAAATTTGACATTTTTTTGCCGCTCTTAAATTTTGAAAATGTATCATGAATGCCGTCCTGTTACACTTCCATGAGTTGACTGTTTGTTCTATCCAGTTGACAAGAAAAAAACTATCGATATTTACAAAATTGACATAAGTTGCCCCTACTGATTTGTGAGGCCATTTTGAAAATGACACAGACCTTAACACACACACACACACACTCACTTTCTTGGTTTCTTCCACCACATTTCCTTCTTCCGCCGTCCCTTGCTCGACAAGTGGGAAGCCACCTGATATATCATAAATTCAGAATAAATGCACGCACTAGGACTTGAACCCTCACGAGATAAAGATACCACTGTCCACCTTAGGGATGGCACCCGCAGGGTTTGGGTACAGGTAGAGCCACCCCATACCCTTACCCGTCGCCCCAAACCTTACCCATTACCCGTACCCATACCCGTCGACGGGTCCAACTTTTTCCCATACCCATCACCCATCAGGGTAAATGGGCACCCACGGGTAAAATTACCCATATTTGCAACACATCAATTTGAGCATTACATAGTCATAAACAACAACTTATAATAATAATTTATAAAGATCAACACGTCATGACAGCAACACATGAATACATGACATCATCTATGGACAACAAAGATATTCCTACTCTAAGATCAGCGCTCATAATAATTAAATAGTAAATAAAATTGTAACTCACCTAGCCGAAATAACCTTGGTTTTGTCCTTGTGTTTGGTAGCGGCAGCAGCAGATGGACCATTGCTAAGCAAGCTAGGGTGTCGCTGCTTCATGGATAACTTGGACATAGTGTTGTAGCGATGCTGCGCCTTGGACCCCAAAGCAGGAGGTGGGAGACCTTGATGTCAGCCGGGGAGTTGGCTCTTTCCTAGCGCGCGGAGGCGCAAGGCACCATCTGACAATAGGGTTAGGCTTGGGCTCATGGTAGGTGTGCCGTCCTGGCTATGGTGGGCACTGAGTTGTAGCTCCACCTCGCGGTTCCCGTCCACGCATGATCTATGATCATGGTCCCTGGATCCATGGAGTTGGCGTCCACCTCGAAGGACAGGAAAGGGGTGGTGGTGCGAGGCATCAAGTGGCTGGAGGTGCCGACGGAAGTGGGCAGCGGCGAGAAGATGAGATCGATCTGCTAGGTGCTGGCTGCTACGAGCGTGCGAGGTAATTTTAGACGTGAATCACGTTGATATAGCTATATAAGGAACGAGGCAATTTTGGACATTAATCACCTTTTTTGAGACAAGGACATTAATCACCTAGATACGTACATGTATGGGATGGGCTTGTGGGTCCTGTGGCTTTGTTGTGGACCAGTTGCGGGATTTACGTAAAAAACTTTTAGTATATGGATACATAATATTTGAGGCCTATTTAACATGGGTACACGGGTATGGGTTATACTAAACCATATCCATACCCACTATACCCGATGGGTTACAAATTTTCCTATTTATGTACCCATGGGTATTTTAGTGACCCATACCCTTGCCCTAATAGGGTTTTTACCCGTCGGGTACGCGGGTCATGGGTACCCATTGCCATCCTTAGTCCACCTAATCATCCAGCCACATTGATTGGGCACCATGTGTCGCTCACCCCTGCCTGCCACCGGTTTATCTATCTACCCTCTTTCATTGCGACGTACTCACATTTTCTTGGTTTCTTCCCCCACCGTCCCTTGCGCCAGCCGTGGGAAGCCACTCCCTCCCCTCCTAGACGCCACCACCTCTCTATCCATTGCCTAAAGAAGAAGAAGAAGAAGAGCAGAGGAGGAGAGTAGAGAGTAGTAGTTGGCCGTGGGACGATTCAGTGGAGCGCGCGCAGTGCCTACTGCCTGCCTCCATGAGCATGACCATGGCCGGCAAGCAGGAGCGGAATCGACGCCGTCCTCAAGAAGGCCGTCGATCTGGTAATTAGTTGGTTCTTTTGGTTTTTCGTTAGCTTTCGGTGTGGTCTCGTCTCTGCGCTTGCCGATGTGGATGGATTAGCACGGGGAATCCATGATCTAGCAGCGGCTAATCAGCATGTGGCTCCGCCGCTGGGGTTTTTACCGGGCGTTGCAGGGTGCCGGAGCTGCTCTGCTAGCGCCTCTTCTTGTAGATCGATTCTTGTCCGGGGTGCCGATTCCCACTCCGGGCCCCTGCCCAGCATTCTGCACTGCTCTAGAATCACACCCCCAAATCTTAGCAACATTTCACCGCAAAATTCCCCCCAAATATTAGTTTTCAATTTTAAAATCCCACAGCCACGATTTATTTTAAAAAAATCTCCCAAATTTACAACTAAAGTTGACTTGACCGTGGAAAAAGTATGTATACTTCTTATGATCCTCTGTTTAATTGGAATGTTTTTTGCCTCTTATAGCTTGGTTCTTCCTCTTCTGGGTTCCTTGGAGTAGTAGGCTGCAGCATACTTGCACGTTCAAATTTCCCCCAAATCTTAGCATTTCAATTTTAAAATCCCACAGCCACAATTTTTTTTAAAACCCTCACAGTTTTATGGCTTTGATTTTTGTTTTCGACCTGTGTACCGGGGCTGCCTGTAGATGCATGTATTCTGGCTTTGGATTTTTTTTATATAGCAGGTCGATCAAAGTTCACAGTATAGTGGTTGCTCGAAATACTGATGTTTTGCTTTAGTCTTTT